AGCATGTAATTGTGCGTGCTTGCGCTCAATTGATTGCTCCAAGACTGGTGTCCAAGCACTGCTCAACCTGACTCGCATCAAGCCCGGCAACGTCTCTGCAGCTACCTCTCTAAGAAACTGCACAACCTCGCTGCGAAGATCACCATCCGACACGCTGAAAAATTGCTTCGTCAACGGATGTGCTGCTTCCTGTTCCTGAAGTGTCAAACTTTCATACTCTGCACAAGCCCGCCACAGCAATTCCCTGGCCTTTGTTTCATCCCAGTGGCCTAAACCTAAAAGGGACAAAGGGAGGCTCTGAAAGGGCATTAGCTTAAGCTCGAGCTGCATTTGAAGTTGGCCCTTCAGCCTGGTCCAGTCCAACCGCGCCCTGGACTGTTCTTGCTCTGACAAACCTGCCGTGAACAGCAGGCTAACCTCGCAGGTCTGGTGCGCCAAGTGCCTCTCAAGAACAGCACGCAATTCTCCCGCTACGATCTCAGGACAACGCAAACCACGCATAGGGCATTTCAGTTTGGGGATTCCTAGCACATCCTCCATTTGCTGCCGCAATGCTTTGGGATGGCAGGGACAACTTTGGGCCCACGCAGTCATACCTGAAATAATTTCAACCAAAGAATTGATCATCTTAAAGAAGCACCAGAAAACTGGGTTTTCAAGGGCAGCAGTCGTCTTGTTGACCAGAACTGAAGTATCCTCCCTGCCTTGGGTTTCTTCACCCTCGACACCTGCCCTTGCACTTGCATCTGGCCTGGAAAGCTTTGCAGGAATCTATGAACACTTCAACACACGCTCCCGTCCCCCCCCCCCACGCACGTCCCCCTTCGAAAAGTGGAGGTCCATCATTAAAGAGAAACGCCCAACCATGCGTTGCAGGATCACTAAGGCAGCAACTGGTGAAAAACCGCCGGTAATGCGCATGATGAAAAAACCTGACTGTGCTCTCATACAGAGGCTTTACTTCTGGCCAGATCTCACTACTGTTCAGCAACGTGTGGGTTGCACCGTCTAGGATGTTAAATAGCCCTGGCACGAAAAGACAAGAACGAAACGATACTGTGTTTGTGCTGGGAGCGCCCACTGCCACTGCAGGCTCTGCTGACCCTGTTGGCTCCGGCTCAACAGCCCCTGCATCCTCCGAAAGCTCGAAAGTAGACACGCCGCTACTGTCAGACCAGTATGGAAACATGCTGCCGACATTAATCTCAACCTGCGAAAGCTCGGCTTCGGTGCCGAGGTCTGCAGTTACAGATGATGTGTGCTGGAGAAGGAGCTGAACATCCGCAAAGCTGCTGCATTCTAGCCGGAGCCCATGAAGCACTGCGTGAACCTTGTCAAGCAAAGATGCCCTGCGAATGCCAAGAGCTACTGGCGGAAGCACGTGGTGTAGCTGTCCATTCCTGATGACGTCCAAACAAGCTGCCGCCTCCTGTAACTGATCGCGGGTAAGGTCTGATGGCTGAACTGAGCTCAATTTCATTTGGTCCTGGAACACACGGAAAACCTCTTGAAGACAACTACCCCTCACACCACACCACTCCATCATCTCCCAATTCTGATTTCCTTGAGGGCTACTGTCAAGCAGGAGGTAAAAACAACTGCCCTCCTTCAATAGGTCGGCAACGCGAGTTCTCATGAAAAGCATGAAAGTGACATCAATAAATAGCTTGGATCTACTGATTGTCGCAGGGGATGGAAGCAGGGCTTGCGAGAGCATGTCTTGAAGAGCACCTCGCCAAACTGGCGGAAGCATAGAGAAAGCTTTCTGCAAGGCCAAAGACAGGGCTGCACTATTCCGCAAATGCATTGCAAACATCACAGTCTGCAACAAGAAACAAGTTGCGTAGCGACCACGCTGCCCCAGAGTCCGATTTAACGCACCTCCAGGCTGGTTCTTCTTGCAAGCCTGCCAGGTGTGGCTAACAAAGGCCCGGGGGGCTGTTGCCTCATGCATTGAGTCAAGCCACAAAATATACGAATGCACTTGGCTCTCGATGTCCACATCTGAATCTGAACCATGCTCTCGGATAATGGCCTCAGACCACTTCCGAAGATCTTGCGCCAAGGCTGTGTACATGTGGTTGTTCAATGGAATGCTGTCACAGGCCAACTTCACTGTGGACCCCTTCCCATCACTAGTGATCTCTGCAGCGCGAGCCCGAACATGATCGCGCAAAGGGTACAAACTACAATCCATGCTCCGTCTACTTTTCGGGGACAAACCACAAGTTTCCCAAAGCCCTTTACACAGAAGTTCACACAGACCACTTGGCACCTGCAGGGCAGTGTCCATGCATGCATCTAGGGTTTGCGGGAAAACGCCGATGGTTGCAAAACATTTGAAAAGCAATTCTTCTCTGACAACATCAGGCTGTGAGGCGGCGTTGCAAGGGACAAGGGTTGGCTGAGCAGCCTGAGCAGACAAGCACCTTTGTATGCATTCAGGCGTCAACGTGAAAGCTTCTCTCAAGTGACCAGCTGCCTGGCCTGCGGCTACTGCTGGCTGAGGGTTCGCTAAAGGCACAAGAGCGTTGACCCGCATGAAGGTGCTGCCACGCAAACCGTCCAAAAGGTCACAAAGTACATGTTCTTCGTCACTCAAAGTATCCAATGCAGAACGGAAAACATTGCCTTCTTGAAGTATCGCTGCTGCACATACGAGGCCCCTTTGTCCATGCCCCAACTCTGCAAAAGAAGCTTCCTCATCATAGGGCCTGTACAACATCTCGGATATGGAGCCGGACAACTTTATTTTGGAAAATCTGGCTTTCAAGAGTGACTCATGCTTGGATAACACCGGTTGGCCACTGGCACTGCCACGGTTTCTGTCTGCGAAACCACGACATATCCAGCACAGCCACCACTGCTCGCCGTCAAAATCAATTTTCATTCTTCCTTATCAAGAAAGAGGAGAAACACTTTGTCTGCGGCACTCTGATTCTAGCTTTGCAAAATGCATAATGCATGTGATTGCTGTGCCATTGCTGAAAGACTCTGCTACGCTGGACTGCATATGAGTCTTCTGCGACTTCTGGGATGCTGGATGCTCTCATGTCAGTGCTACTTGCTACGCTGCAAGACCACACAAAACAATTTGCTTCCAATCCTGAACTCAAGAACTCTATCCTGACCCCTGCCTCTCAATTTCTAAAAATTGAACTTCCTAGTTACAAGTATCTACACCATCTACACTACATAAAGAACCCTTGCTGCATTGTCGTTTGTGAACGTAAGCTCGAGCAGCTCACAAGCAATCACCCACCACATGAGTCACATGAGAGTCGCATGTCTGACATGTCTGCAACTCGCGAATAAATCAGGCACACTCGAAAAATCCTCAAGAATCAAGCAAGCACGGCTGACTGTCAGCCGCTGAAAACTGGCGGATGATGTTCCGAATGAAAAAGTAAAGTCAGATTCCAGTTTGGCTTGTTTTGTTTTTGGATGATTGCATATGGTTTGCAGAGCCCTCTTGCGGTTGCATGCTGCGTGCTGCTGTCATTTCCATACTCCCGAGCCTCTTCGGCTCACAAGCAAAGTACTTTCTTATTATCTTTTAATAGGGTCTTCATTAGAGTGGGGTCAAGTGGTTTTTTTTTCGCCCTTCTTTTCCCTGGGACGCACGGTGTCACCTAGTTCTTTATTTGGGTGGCGGATGGAGCCAGGTTTTTTTTTTGCACCCTCATTTTCCCTGATCCCTTGGGCGCAGAGCGTCACCAGTGTCACCTTTCTGGAACAGCGCACATGAAACCCACAGAAAATCCATCTTTAATTCACAGAATCCCTGACACAGCACCAACACCCTGTCCTGGGGGCCCGTTAATGGCTTGGTGAAATTTACTATATCAGATGCTCACCGCAAATCTCAAGCACAACGATTAGAAAAGTACTGCATAAATCAACATGAAGACTGCGACCTCTACTAGCCAAAAATCAACAAAACTGCAGGCCTACCCTCAACCTTGCGCATATTCAGATCTGAAGCTGAGTCCCTTGAGGGAATACTCCGCTCCATGGCTCGCTTTCTTTGGACCACCTCGCCGTCCTATCCCCAAGTGTGGGATCAACCGAATGACTCTCACATGGGAAAAGCATCTCCAAACCCTTACCGCTGACCTATACCTGCCCCGCGAAGGCTGAGAGGTCCCCCACGACTATTGGAAGTAGTGGGACCGAAACCGCAGAACAACATGAAGGATTGCTCCAGTGTCACTTCGCTTGCTTGAGCATCCTTTGCCAATACCAGGCGCTGTGTAGAAGCTGAAGAATATATAGTCTGCTTCTGTAAACTGCAAGGCTTGCGCGTTTGAAAACGGAGTTCGTCAAACAAGTGGCTAGATGTGGCTTACTCGCAGGTACGTTTTCACAGGGAAAATGTGGTGTCTTCGTTGGGCACCAACCACATATTCCCCCCGCGCCCCCTCAAACGCATAAAAGGAAGGTACGTTGGCGAGTTCTCAGGCATCCCCTAGATTTTGGGCAGGGTGGAACAACAAAAACAACAAGAACAACAATAACAACAAGATGAAGAACAGCAACAACAACCAAAAAGCAAAGTTTGGATAGGCACCGCAGCAGATTCCAAGACGGTTACCACTCAGAATTGAAGCTACACTTTGCAAGCTACACTTTGATCGTCACAGGGCGCTGGGAGGTACCCAACGTAGTACGACCCATAAACCCAAAGAACTGCCGGGATACGGTAGTCAAACAATAAGCCCCTCACCGATATATTCATCCAAATGATAACCGGTCTTCCTTGCAATTCAGGTCTCTCATAACCAGGGCCCAGTGAAAGTCAAGAAGCAAATGAGCAAGATATCAGGAATGCTCATCATAGTGGCCTATAGGACGCCTACAGACCTGAAATCCAACGCGCATAACCACTGACTGTAAAGACTGCTCACTTCAACCTCAACCCTCTAAACAAAGGAGCCAGAAAGCACAGGACTCCTGGGAACTTTAGACCTGGAACTCTAGAACCCTGCAAGCCAAAGAGCAAGTATGCATAGGACAAGACCAGCATGCCCGCCATGACCACGAGGAGACCCGAGGGCAAGAGGCAGTCGTGGTGGCTCCGTCCCAGGGCCTCCAGCCCACGGAAATATCTACAGGATGTGGGACGCAGGGTTTATGTTGGGGCTCAGTGTTTGGGGCTTACGCTTCAATTTCTAAGAGAGCCCGTATTTGGTGTATGAAGGACATCTCTTACAAAAAGCTTACCACGGCTATTGATGAAAGCTTTTGGCTGAGGCTGGGTTGGGTATTCTCAGGATGGGATGCTCTTGGGGAGAGAGGGCATACGCATCAGCATCAAAAGAAGCTAATGGTGCTACTATGTCTGCTGCTTAGGGAAGATATGCGCAGCTGTTCGGGAGATTCAAAGCTGGAGTTTCATGGCCTTGGTTGGCTGTTGGGGTTGAGAAGTAAAGGCTTCAGCACTCTCAAAAACGACAGGGCACGTTTGCAAATCAATCCGGGCTGTTAAGGACACTGAGATTCTTGCTCAGCTTCAGGGTTTTCAGCCTTGACTAACACCCGGCATCAGGAAAAAAAAGATCATGGAAGTCTTACTGCCGGGCCAGCCTCAGAACTTGCACAAGCCTGCAGACGGCCCCGCTCAGCTTCCCTGTGCCTACGTTAAGCTTCAGCCCTACCTTTATCATCCTTAGTAATTAACTCCCACGCTCATGGGTCTCTGTTTGCGGTCATAACTCTCTGAACGCAGGCAACTGGTACGTCATGGTGGATGATGCTGCTACGAGCCCAGAAGATGGTCATTTCGGTCTTTATGGCTCATCAAATACAAGCTTCTAGGACTAACAACGAAATATCCGCGAAACCAAAACCCTGACACATACAGATCACACCGAGAGACAACGAGAGTATCACTTCAGTCAGACCCCAAACTCACTACTGTAGACCCTGGACATTCACCCCTACCAAAACTACCAATTTGGGGCTTCCAACGTCCTTCATCACATCTTATCAATACATGTATTAGACCTCCCAAACATGATGCCCCCCAACCCTCAACCCCGAGGACTGAGCATCTAGATATCTTCTGCATGCATGGACCCTCTTTGAGATTTGCTCGTTGCTTGCACATATTTGCTGGCCTCCAGATTCAGGGGCTTCAGGCTTTCCATGAACGTACGGGAACGTCTGGGGGCAAAGGCAGAGTAAAGCAGCTCTGCAACCTGCCAGGTAGGTTCATGTGGGCCCACAAGTATGGCTAGCCAGAACGGTAGTGCAGGGATGTATACAGTGTAAATATGCATCCGACAATGCGAAGAAACGCAGGCTCTTGAGAATATGGACACTTGCATGTACAGCCGGAAGCGATTGCTGAATGGTTTTTTCTTTAGGGGTCAAGGCTACGAGGTTTTCGGATTGAGGGGGCTGGGGGTACGGAGTCGGCAGCCTGGTTGCCGTGGCCGCTATGGCCTCGACGACCCTGAATGGAATTGCTGAGGAACTCTTGAGCCCTTACCAGAACAGGTGGCAGGAGACAATCAACTCTGTTAAGATGCAGCCACTGTGGTCTAGAGAATCCACAGCCAAAGTGCGCAGCCTTGAGTTGTGACAACATGGGGGTGGTTTGTTCTACAGAAGATAGGATCCAAAAATGTCGGCTATCGAAAAAGTGAAATAACGAAAAAAAATGAAACAAGGTGGCGGGGCGAATAGAAAGAGAAACCCAGGTGATTGCAAAGAAGATGCCCCAATGGAAAGAGGTGTAGGCGGTGGCTGACATGTACCTGAAGAAATAAACAGAACATGGCAACGTCATCAAGGAGACAAAGATGAAAAAGAGGCGACAAGTTGACAAGGTGCACAACAAGTCATACCAGTAGCAAGGAATTAGGAGGTGTAGTCCCCACGGAATAAGTCGGAACGAAACTGCTGAGGTCTAAGAACAGGAATTGGATCAGAAGCAGTCCAACCGAACAGTGCCCAACATGATTTTAACACTGCTTCCCAAAAATGAGGTTACCATGCAAATTGATGGGTTGAAGTTTCTTTGAGGTTCGGGTGGGCTTACGCTTAGGTTTTGACTCTGCAGCTAAGCCACATCTTGACTGTGGAAAGCGGTCTGTTGGAAAAATCCTACTGTTTTGGGTGCGATTTGAACCGGAGATCCCTGGCTTCAAGGCCGCCTCCAAGACAAACTTCAAAGCCACGGCATTCAACAGCAGATCCTCGCAGGTGGAGGGAATCAAGGCCAGATCCCATACTGATCCATACTGCACATCCTGCGCTCTGAATTGTCGACCAAACCAGCTTCACACTATCTGCTCAACAGCGGCATCCTAGACCTTACAAGAAGTACAGCACAGCAACAATAAAGCAGTACTCACAGCAACGCCACGGCCGCCAGCCCCGCAACCGCATCAACCGCATACACCACACCACCATCGGCACCAGCACCGCCGCTGCTGCTGCCGCTGCCACTGCAGCTGCAGCTGCTCTTAGCGCAACTGCCCAACCACACTACAAACAACTCTAATGACACTCAGGAAACATCCTCCCAGCAAGATCCTGCACCGTCTCGGTGTACACAAGATACAGCGTTCCGTACCAGAGAAGCAAGGCTTGGACGACAACACGAGCCAGGACCTTGGCGGGCTTCTGCATTTTGCAGCCAGAAAATGACAAGGTGTTCAAGCAGATGTAAGCAGGCATAGAGTATGCTCTAAAGGAATATGCATATGATGAAGATACGAATCGTCTGTGTATATCTATATGTGCGAATAAAAACTTGCTGCAGCGGTTATGATTACTATTTGCTCCTCAAGCGTTTCCTGCAGAATGGAACTTTCTAAATGCAAAGGGTCCGTATGATCGTTTCCTAGAAAGAAAAAGAAGCAAACGTTAAGAGTCGGGATAAGCACAAAAGACACCAAAAGTGATGCTGGAGAATCTGTCCATGTGAAGCGAATGAGTTAAGTATGTTGAGCTCTTCTGAAGAATATGGATGCAGGGCCTGAAAGGCCAAAACCATGGATTTTCCCAAGCCCTAAGTTTAGTTGCCTGAATCGTGCCCACACTGGTTTCCGAAAATTAAATGCACGCAACTGTTCTGGGAGAGCTGCCACATCTCCGCGGTACTTGCTATCTGCGGGAACTCCCCTCTTCAACATCAACAGCCCTAAGATCCAAACAGGCTAATGGTCAGCGGAACTGATTGGTGCTTGTGTATCTGGGGTCTAGGAGCGTGAGCTGCAAGGCCTAGTCTCGGAAGGAGGATGTAAGGCCTCACTTCCTGCTTGTAACCAAGATGGAAGGCAGTACGTTCCGCGTACGACATCGTAAACATGGCGCTAGTCTCGGGAGGAAATCACGATGAGCAAACATCCTTTTCCGATAACTGCTGCTGCCTCTTTGAGTTGTGGGAGGTGACTCTGCGCTCTGCATGGGCGGGGCGGAAACGGGTGCTACAAGAGAATGCACGGGGGATTTTAGGAGGGACATGAAGGGATTTAAGGGGCCTGTCTGAGGGATGTAAGGCTTTAAATCCCCTTACAGACAACTTCCAACCACCCCTGCCACAGTTGCAGCCGGATTCCAAAGCTTTTTACTACCAGATCCCAGATGTACCTGACACCCAATGCAAGCCTAAAACTGAGCTCGCTCATGAAGACAAGACTCAAAATGCAAGGTTTTGCTGGCAACATGACTTCAGAATCGCCCCTCCTAGACACCAAATGCTGGCTTGGGCTTGGGTGGGCATTCTAACTAAGGACCAACCCAGCGACCGTCATCAGGATGAAGGAAAGACGCTTCCGGGAGAGCTTGATGAGCACAATCTGGTCGTCCTGTAATCTCAAGCAATTTCCCGGAAACACGAGTTCTGAGGAGTGAAAGGAGTCATTCAAGGCTTACGCTCAAGCTGCGTGTTGCATTTGTTTGGGCACGCACAACGTGCACGCAGGGGTTTGTTGGTTCTATATGGTTATCCTGCTGATGCAACAAAGAAGCCATGTCATATGCAAATCCAGAGAGAAGATGTAGAGATCCTGGCAACATAAAACCGATTAATTCTCATTACCACAAGGTCTGTACTCAAGGGCTCGAGGAGAGTAGTGGAGGGACCGAAAACATGATAAGTCTCAAGTAAGTTTTATTGCGCAGACACTACGTACTTGGGGGTTGGGGTGAGTCTCAGCCTAGGCCAAAACTGTAGATGTGGACGGACATGATCTCGCAATCAAATGTAAGCTCGAAACCGCATGACTTGAAGGCGCAAGCTACCCATGTAGCAGCATTCTGCAAACACTACGTCTGCGTTGTTTTGGTCATGATGTTCATTAGCGTAGACCGCAGGTGTAGACATACCTATTGAAAAACCCTTGACCCAAGCCCTTCTCGCGTGCAAGAAAGGCGTCCTCCACGTGGAAGAGAGTATGTCCTTTGGGCATCTTGATCCTCCCTCTTGACAGCAGAGAATGGGAAAGAGAGAGCGCACACCAGAGCTAGGGAGGAAGGGAGGGAGAACAATTAGGAGATGCCCAGAAGAGGAACAAAAGGGGATAGCCACAGAAGAGGAGCAGCAAGAGAGCAGAGGTGGCCTTTAGGGACCTCCATGAGGCCTACCGCGAAGTGGAACAGCTTGCCATACTCAGCGATTATGGTAGCGTACCTCGGTGGCCCAGGGCATTATAAGTATGTGTTGCGAAAAGGGTCAGCGAAGGCCGTTCTGAGGCTCCTACAGCAGGCTGATGAAGCCAGCATTTTGTGACTCACGAGTTGGGGTTGTCAGCCAGTTGGCATTCTAATGACTACGGGGACAAACCACAATGGAGCTTTGCAGGTAAATCCTAAGGGAACCAGACAATCTTTGGCTCGGTCAAAGGATGAAGGTTTAGGATTCACTGTGTATGGAAACTAGTATTGTTTCTGTTCAGGCAACTGCATCCAGAACTGGCATTCTTTCGCAGTTAATGTTTACAATTGCAAACACTGCAAATCGCCCCGTCTGAGCGCCCAGCAAGGTACACTGCACAGCCATTTTTGAGCCATGCAGCTAAGTACAGTTGTCGTCGGGCAGGCTGCGAAGGGAAAGAAACTGTGCTGTACGAAGAGCCCATCAGCCCAGGCTAGCACACTTTCCAGCATGCGTGCCCAGACTTCAGGGCCCTGAGGCTTCAACTCTCCCCCATTCAGCTCCAGTCTTACTGCTTGGCCAAGCCAGTCATCGCAGCTGACGCAGCAAGTTTTGCGGCAGCAGCTGGGATCTGCTTCTGATGGACCCCATTCGTTGAGGATCCACTTCTTGCCAATGCTTCTGAAGGAGAGCGTGCTTCTCGTATCGAGATACACTCTTTTTGGCTTGCCATCGACCTCGCTTTTGCACTTCCTCCAGCTTTCGACGTTTGTGGAACACGTCGTTGGAGGCCCCGCTGTGGCGAAGGATGTGAGGCATCACGCAACAGCTTTTGTAGCAGGCGAGCCAAGCGAAGCTTCGGGAACAAGGGTCCAGAGCAGCGAGCCACCCACGCAGTCAGCGCCTGTCGGAGCCAGTCTCGGTCGCCAAGGTCAGCCACCAGGACAGAGTCATCCACTTCTCCTGTTTTCGTAGTTTCCTCCAGTGCGGAAGGAGCTACGATGATGGCCCAGCGCTTGTAACGGTGTCCTTGGGGGGCGCCCAAGGCATTCGGAGGGCCGCAGGTAGGATGGCCACGCAAACGTCCAGGTGCCCGGTCTCGAGCGCGTGGGTGGCCAGGTCGTAGACAAACTCCTCGGGCACCGGCATGCGCATGCGTCCCAGTGCTTGTTTCTTCCAACCAGCCAAAGCCTCTTTGGAGTTCACGAGGAAGTCTGACTTAGGGACTGTGCAACGGAGAAGTTGGAGCCCGTACACGAGGTAGGCGCCAGGAGAAGGGTCTGTCTCATCGCCTTCCGAGAGCCAGGTGAGGTAAGAGGTCACCATCTTGTCCAGGTTGGCTTTGGTGACTCGCCGCCCCCGCTGACGTGCCCAGCTTTCGAAGTCCCTCACGTGGTTGTGGTAGGCCGTGAGCGTCTTCTGTGAAACTTTCTGCGCCCGCAGTCGGAGTTGTTCAGGGAGTTGGCCGCCATCTGGCGCGGTCCGAGGCTAGGGCCCCGTTCTCTCGAAGTGCTTCCTGTTCAGCCAAGGGGCGCTCCACCAGGTCGGCAAAGTGGTCGATGTAGCCCTGTACTTCCGGGGGAGCCAATCCCCGGGCGTCCTGCGGTCATAGCCTCTGATGAAGTATCTTCACCTTGTCCAGGTCAAAGGGGACAAGTTGCCCGGCCTCCTGCTCATACAGGTTGGCGCGCTGATTGAGATCTGCCAGGGCGGCCTGCTCGGTGATCTCGGGGGGACAACCCCCGTACTGGTTGACCCTGCGAGTCACGTCCTCCAGAATCCACCGCTGCACCGCCGTGAACGGCATGTCTCCAAAACTGGCCTTCTTGTTGTCGGCGGCGGCAAGGATGTTCAATGACCGCAGTGAGCAGTCGACTCGCCGTAGCCGCCGGAATTGTCCCGCCTCCTAGCCGTCAAAGCCAGCAGGAAGGCGGGGAAGAGGAAAAGGGTCTCCGTGCCATCGGTCTCGAGAAGGAGAACGGAGACTGAATTCAGCCCATGCATCCGCCGAAGGTGGGATCGGGCCATTTCGCCCCGGCGGGGTCCCACCCCTTCTGTGCTCCTTTCATTTGGCGTCTGCGGCGCCGGCTGCGTCGCCACTGCCCTCCCCCTTGCCGCCCTTCTTCTTTTTCTTCTTCTTCCTCGCCCCGGTGAGGCCGGTCTGCTCCTCGTCGTCGCTGGAGTCGCCGTGGTCCGCCCGCCCGCCGCGAGGTCCTCGAAGATGACGTCGTTCCTGGTTGTACAAGCGCTCCTGCTTCCAGATCGCCGCCCTCTCCTTCAGCCTGTTCGACACCCAGTCGGTGAACTTCGAGGTGGTATCCCTGCCGTCAGGTAGCTGGGCCGTGCCGCTGATGATGTCGAGGCCGCTGAAATCGGGCTGTTGGGGATTTCGCTCCACAGCCAGCTCGGTTTGGATGAGCCATCTTGTCAGGTGTTCTCCACTGGCGATGGCACTGGTGTCGATCTGGTCGAAGCTATGCATCAGCCTGAGTGCCTCGCAAAGTGCTCGATGGATGTGGGCCGCACTGGTCTTTTTGCTAACTCCGGACAGCCTAACCCACTCTGCGTGGTACACGAGGAACTCGCCGGCACTGGCCGCCACGGACTCATGAAACTCCTTCTTGGCCGCACGCACGCCGTGGATCGGGAACTCCTTGTCCTCGGGGTTCTTCATCAACGCCACTGCCTGCTTCAGCTCCAAGCGCCTTTTCCCGGCTGCGTCACGATGGTCTCCAAGAAGCCGGACGTCGCTGAGATCAAGGCCTTTTGCCGCCGCCAGTCCACCAGGTCTTTGCTCATGACTCTCTCGACGAAGAGCTCCTCGCCGCTGACGATCACCACGCCCTTCTGCATGAAGGCCAGGCCAGTCGCCTCGTTCCCAAGGAGCGCGGCGTCCACCACATTTCCAAAGTCCGGGCGCCCGGCTTCGGCCACCACCCATTGAAAGGCCTCAATGTTCTCGATGTCGCCCTCACCAAGGATCGTGACTTGGATCTGCGCCTCACGCTTGAACCCTGCCAAGGCCGCCGCGCCGATGGGGTCGTGAGCGTAGATCTCGCCAACGATGTCTCCGGGGAAGGGGCCTGCTCAGTTGAGAACCCGGTGCCGGAGGACGTTGAGGTCGTGCCGTTGGATTTCCAGGTCCGGAGTCAAAGTCAGCCAAGTACCTCCGGCAATGCGATGCAAAAGCACTCGATGATGCCAGAAGAATCCATTCTCGTCCGCTGGGTAGTGGACCACAATCTGCACCTCCGCGATGTCTAAGGTGAGGTCCGCCATCGCTTCAAGTCAGAAGGTCGCGTAGGCCTCCGCTGTGTAGAGCTGGGTGTCGCACTGGTCCGCGGTGAAGAGTCTCGAGCCGAGGAACTTGTCAAAGAAGTAGACTCCAAAGCTCCCTCGGTGAGAGCCGCGGGAGGTAGATCAGCTTCTCCTGTGTCGTCCAGCGCCAGGTCAGTTCTTGGGGAGCCAACCCTCCGAGACAAGCACTGAAGGATGAGAAGAGTCAAGAGGAACAGATCCAGGGCGCCTGAGAACCTGAGTGCCCAATCTTGTGCCCAGAGCTTCCACTCACAGCCGCTGACCCCGACGTGGAAAGTGTGAATGACTTCTCTAGCCTCCTGTATCTCCTGGCGCAAGGTCGCGACCTCGTCCAGGACCACCCTCGGATGCGTCCTCTCAGACAACCAAGCCCAGCTGAGGCACAAGAGCGCCACGGAACGAAGGTGCATTCAGGCTTGGAGGGATGGGCTTTTTGATTCTTGAGAGCAAACAAGCGGGCGCAGCCTGCTGATATGTTACAAGGTTTACACTCGTCCCGGCTAAAATTGTTCTCCACAGGGACATATCATTCCTCCCAAACGCACAGTCAATCGCCAACAATGAACCTCTCAACCCTAAACCTTCCAAGCCCGAAGCTCTTAGACCCAAGTCCTTACCTCTGATTTTTCAACACCTCACCAGAACGCTCACCCATTAACCTAAACTGCGGACAAAGCCAAAACACCAAGCCCTAAACAATGGAAGCCCTAACACCTGAAGTTAACCCACATGAAGCGTGAACCCAGGCAGAGAGCCATGTCAGCAAGGCCAGCACGCACATGATGAAGCCAGTGCTCATGAACGAAAAGCCATAGTTCGATATGTTTTCTGCAATCTCCTAGGGCATCAGGAAAAATTCCGGCATTTATGGTTAAGGCTTGAAAGTTCAATGATGATATAGTGTAAACAGGCTGCTATAGTTGGCTACTTCTTGGGACTGGGCGTCGAAGCACAACAAACAAAGTAAAAACCCAATGGAAACAAAGAAACCCGAAAAGTCACGCATAAGTTTAAGCAGCCCACATGTTCAGGGTTTAGAGTTTAGGGCACAGCGACGACTCTGCTTCAGCAAGCTAGTTTCTAAAACATATAGATGTTTCGATAATCCGGCCCTTTCTGCCGCAAGGAAGCAGGTCGATATGCCTGGAATCTAGAAAATCATTCTTTTGAGAAACCCTGCGGTTCCGGACGTCGGCTGCAAGTGTGCTACGTATGCTGGCTGCCGATTAGAGGAAGAAGCCCCAGAGTATCCTGGCGTACTAAAAGGCTTTCCAGAGAATACGGAAGGCAGATTCCTGGAAAAAGAAAACAGCCTGCAGATTTATACTCCGAACCCGGGGGTTGCACATGTACAGACCACAGAAAACATGAGGCTTGAAAACTGCAAGAAATATTCCTTGCCGTAAATAGAGGCCCCGCACAGCATAGATATATCCCCCCAGCAAGGTGTTGAGGAGATGGCTCACACCTTTCTCTTACAAACGACAAAGCTTTACATTCTAGCTATGCAGTTCTAAACCCCACGCTCTGAATCTAACACTGGAGATCCCCATCCTTGGCCCCACTTCTGCATCACGCAACATTCACAATTCCCTTTTTGAAGCCAAACCCTAGGTATGTCTCGAAGAAGTGGCTCCTCCTGAACTCGCAAACCCTTAATCTGTGCTCCTTCTCGCTGAAGGAGTTAGCCAAGGCCTTATCAAAGCCGCAAGCTCTGGCTGCGAGCGAGGTCATCGAGTTCTGAGACACCTTCATCCGAAACCCCCCGCTCAGATTGGGGAACTGATTTGTAACCAGTACTTGTGTAATCCCAGTGACTAGTCTGCATCTTCTCTTTCCATTGCTTCATCCCCTACCCCCAAAACAAGAAGTCCCAGCGGTCCTTGCAGGGCCCTCATGCTTGTTGCAAGATGTTTACACCCTATGGCTTAAGTTCGGAATGCTCGACGCTGACATTCTTTGGCCCTCTCAGGGCACAATAAGAACGCAAAACTGGGCATTCGAGAAACCTTGGCCGCATGTCTTCTTGTGAAAAATCCACCGTCAAACCGCGTCTGCATGAGTCTACATTTCACAAGACTGGGGCGTTGGGATTGGCATGCATGAGGCTCGGGTGGTGGCTTAGTCAGATCTGGTCCCAGGATCGAAAGCCTAAGTGCATCCCGAAAATCTACACCCTGCCCTGCTAATGAGGCAAACTTAGAGATTGGGGTGGCTGAGTTGTGCTGCCGAGGTGTTGGGGCTTGAGTAACTTAGGGTCGTACACTTATGTGTAAAGGACCCGTACACTGATCCCTGTGACAGGGTGTCAGGACGGATAATGCCACTGCAATCTCGTCTTGCTGACAGCAAAAGAAAATTTACAGAACTGTACTCCTTCAGGAGACATAGAGGATGAACTAAGGAGCACACTCCACGAGGCATGGGAACTTGCCTCTGTTAACATCGAGGGCCTAAGCTTCCCAGTCAAAGATGAGCCGCACTGTATGCTAAAGGATACCCTTCAAACCTACATGCACAAATACTGAACGTTTATGAATCTCTGGAGGCCCAAGCCGACCTATTCAAGCTTCCGGATTAGCAAGTAGGCTTGGAGGGACAAGTCTTAGGATGAACCTGCCGCTATAAACCCTGCAACCCAAACTGTACCAAGGCGAATGCCCGAAAACTTGCCAAACCCTTCGAGTCCCTGTTGCCTGGCCTGATCCGCCTTGTGAGCCATGTCTATCCGCCAATAGCTCAAAGCAATCTGCGAGGAGGTGTCCTGGGCTGTGGTAAAACTACGGAATACAGGGCGGCCGCCGGCCTGAGTTGAGCTCCAAAAGCAAACCGGATGTAGACTTCATGGGACCCGGCGTCGTACGGATTCTCCGTGAAGCTCGTGGCGACCATATAGCAAAAGACCAACTGCAAGAAGATGGTGAGGACCAAAAGGAACCTCGAGCTTGGCCTACGAACTTCTGGGACTCGGATGATAGCTACTTGGGGAATGTGGTACACAACTGTAACTCTAGATGCCCACATTGCCCTGTTGCCACTGGGATGCACTGGCCGTGGTCTAGTTCAGGGCTGTTACATTTCAAAAAAAAGTTCGCTCGTATTCAGCTGCAAACACTCTCACGAGCCAGAACCTGTCGGGACCCTCTATGGACACAATGAAGTGTCAATGACAATCCACTCGCATTTTTGCATCAGACCAAGTAAAGACCATGCAGCATGATCAGTATTGAAGAGCCGTATCCAATGGCCGGCTGTCCGAAGCAGACAACCAGGTCCCAACAGTTTTCCTGGAATGCATACCTCAGTGAGCTTGAAAGGGATGGTTGCGATTTGCTTTTGGGCTTGGAGTTCTGGGCTGGGCCAAAGGTTCAATGACAGGCACTACTGCCGGGACTGCGGAAGAGAACCGAACCAGTCACACTCCAAGCCCCTCGTAGGTAGGACTCTCATCAGCTCCTTCGCTGACAAATACCTAAAAACCATTACAACCCCAAAGGACCCAAGTATGTGGATGGCAAATGCATGCAAACTCTGTGGGACTTCTAGTGTAATTAGTCCGAGCACTGGAACAAAAAAAGGAACATATTTAAAGAAAAATTGCTGGGTAGAAATAGGCTCCAAAGACTAGCTGCAATTAGGTGGCTTTTGGTATGGGGAAAAGGGACCAGGTTTAAAGGAGAATTTTGGGGAACCTATCCTGATAGTAGATCTAAGCAAGCAGTGTAAACTACTTTTACTGCAAAAAGACTGGCAGCTGCTATGGAGATTCAATACATTCCTATTCATGATGGAGCTCCAAAAGCCCCAATCATTCTGTTAATCTGGCGCGCCTGCTTCCTTATTCTGGCGGGGGGGGTGGGGCGGGCCCGCCCCGAATGGTTCCAGTGCTCGGATTACTGCACACGAGATGGGCACTTCTAGCTGTCTCACGTAGAGCCCACAGTCCCCTTTCGGACTTTGAGGAATCTTGAGGATGCACTAGCTACCTTTTCCTGAATTGAACACCTTGAAACCTCGGGCGCCACACCCGCAACTTGACACCCTTGAAGAAAGTCTGCAACCGGCTCAGGTGCCCTTCTGTGCTTTCCACAGGATGGTCCGTGAATCCCGTGTCTGCCTTCTGGTACGCCACCTGCACCTGACAGAAGGTTTTGGATAGTGCTCGTGATTTGGCATGAGGCTTGGGCTGTGTGGCACGTCATGCAGAGCACTTTGTAAAGGACACGATGATTAGCAATCCTGGGCTTGTAGGAAAACTCTTGCTTCCTACCCAATAATCGCAGACCAGGGTCCCAACCATCAAACCTCAAATCATACCCGTCATACCCCCGAACCCACCAAAGCCAAACCCCTCTCTCCTAAGCCTGGTTTCCTACGCACCTGGTTCTAGGCTTCAGGAGGTGGGATTACGGGATCCAGGGTTGAAGTCTACTAAACTCTGACGAGACGCAAGGTCACTCTCGGAGGAAGATGAGTTGTTCTCGCTGTTTTCGATGTCTCGGTTTATGTCCGCCCGCAAGCCTTAGGCGGTTAGACGGACAGAAAGTGTGGCTTTGTAAATCCCTTTTTCGGGTTCCAAGCCACTGCAGACACGAGCGTACTCTAAGTGATTGCTCGCATGTAATACTTTGGTATAGATTCTTATGAGTTTCTGACTCTTAGGATTCTCATGTGGGTGGCGGTTGTTCAGACATTGATATGCAATTTTGATTTCCAACCAAGTTGGACGTGGAACCCTCCCCTCGAAGGCCCAAACTAGACCTCGTCTCTTTTTTGTTTATGGAAGACAGCAAAGACATTGCTTCTGCGCACGACGTTGCAGGCGCAGATCAGATTCTTATTTTGCATTGATGTTCGCAACCAGTGCCTAGGCTACGATTGTAAGGATTCCACGCGAGAACAAGCCTGAGTTGGAAGATGGGGCTCTGCAAGCTTGAAATACTACACCTTCAGTTGTGATG